TCCATACTGGGTACTCGGTAATATTGTTACTTTGTCCTTGCCTTTTCATCAACATTTTCTGTATATTTGTACACACACCATTATTTTATCGTGATTGTATCTTCTGTCATTATGACCACTCTTTTCCAACGTCTTCACTGGGTTTTCCTTCTCCTGCCTCTCCTTACATGTTGGTGTACCCCCAGGGTCTTCCACTCAGCCCTCTTCTCACCCTATATCCTATCGTTGAGGTTCTTGTTTGCTCCCGTGGCTTCAGGTATATGCTGACAACACCCACATATATTCCTATGCTCTCTTGAGCACCAGAGTTTTCTTCAGTGTACCTAATAGTCTTATCTATTTGGATAGTGCTATAAACTCATTATGCCCTCCACCCCAAATTCATATATTGAAGCCCTAACCTCACATGTGATTGTATTTGGAAGGTATTTGGATCTCCTTTGGGAGATAATTAGGTTTAGATGAGGTTATGAAAGTGAGGCCCTCATGATAGAATTAGTATCCTTGTAAGAAAAGACACCAGAAAGGAGTTTGCACTTTCTTCCTGCCACCCCTGGAACCATGTGAAGACACAGCAAGATGTCGACCATCTACAAGGCAGGAAGAGAGGCCTTAAGAGAGTCCCAGAGAATTCATGCTGGCATCTTGAGCTTAGACTTCCAGCCTCCAAAACTGTGAGAAAGTAAATTTCTGTTGTTTAAGCAACCCAGTCTACATGGTATTTTGTTACGACAGTATGAGCCACACAAAGATACCTAGCAAACAGATTGAATACAACATATGCAAAACTGAATAAATGGAGTATTTTCTTTTAAAACATGTATATATTTTCTTTCTCAGTTAATAGTAATTTAAGGTAGAAACGTTGGTCCCATTCTTTAGGTTCTCTCCTTGTCTCTCTCCAGGTTTGAAGGGAGAGTTGGGCTGCAAAGGGCACAACGAGCTGTTTGGGAATAACTGAAATGATGTCTGTCTTGATTATGGTACCAGTTTCACTGGTTTCAATCCAAAATGATTGAATTATGCATTTTAACTGTATGCAGTTGATTGTACATGATTATAACTCAGTTGAGTTGGTTTAAAAAATTTGTAGGGATAGGGTCCCAGAGTCTATATTACTAATTTCCTGTAGCATACTTGGTTTTATTTCAACGATGACACAAGGTGATTCATTTGGCTGTCTTTATGCTGTCTCAGTATATCCTTTATGTTAGTAGCCATTCTCTTTTTTTCTCTGCTGACACTTCCATTGCTATTGTTTATTTACTGACTTTTTCTCCCAAATGTTATGGGTCAGGGATCAGGGCCTGAACCTAGCTATGTCTTTTCTAAGGCGTAGATTGACTATGTGGTAGATCTTTATCTTTTAAATATCTGTTTTGCCCTTTGTTTGAAGTTTGTCGTTGTGTTCAGAATGATTAAGGAATCAGCAGAAGTCTTTCTTATCCCTGGATTATTCAGGTCTCACTGTGCTGGAAAACTGTGTTGCAACTCTATCTAGAGTTGAGTGTCAAGGGTTAGTAGGCTCGTCTTGAGAGTCATAATGAGAAAGAGTGTTAAAGCCCATTAGAGAAGGGCTTTGTCCGTCAAAATGGAAGAGTTAAGTTTTTAATACAGTAGTAGCAGTACAGTCAGCCCGCTGTATCCACGGATTCACATCCATGGATTCAATCAACTGTAGATTAAAAATATTATGAGGAAAAACCAATAAAAAATAAGAATACAACAATAAAAACACAAATTTTAAAAACAGTATGGCAACTGTTTACATAGCATTTACCTTGTATTGGGGTATTATAAATAATCTGGAGACTAAAGTTTATGCAAAGATATGCATTGGTTATATGCAAATACTACACTATTTTATATAATGGATTTGAGAGTCTGTGGATTTTGATTTTAGGGGGATTCCTGGAAACAACCCCCCCATTGATAATGAGAGATGACTGTAGTAGTAGTCAGTAGTAGTAATAGTAGAAGTAATAACACAGGTAGTTATAGAAGTAATAGGAATAGTAAAGATCATAATAATGAAAGAAGAAAATATTTGCTGAATGCTTACTAGGTGCTGGATACTGTGTTATTTACATGAATTATTTTATTCAATCTCCACAATAACCTTGGAAAATAAGAATTGATATTTTTTTCCTTACTTTATAGATGAAGAAACAGACACAGAGAAATTGAGTAACATTCAAAATCACAGAGCTAGTAAGTAATAGGGCCAGATTTCTACCAGGCAGTAGTAATTACAATTGTTGGGCCACGTGTGGTACCTCACACCTGTAATCCCAGCACTTTGGGAGGAGGCCAAGGCAGGCAGATCCCTTAAGGTCAGGAGTTCAAGACCAGCCTGGGCAACATGGCAAAACTCTGTCTCTACTAAAATACAAAAATTAGCTGGGCTTGCTGACACAACGCATGCCTGTAATCCCAGCTCCTCAAGAGGCTGAGGCACAAGAATCACTTGAACCCAGGAGGCCTCAAAAAAATTATTGAACAAATAAAACTAATGATCTATATATAGGCTCAGTGTTGAAGAATAGTCAGAATTTACTTAGTGCTGATTAGTTAAGTGTTACCAAATAAAAAATAAAATAGATGGGGCCAGGTGCGGTGACTCAGGCTTATCATCCCAGCACTTTGGGAGGCCAAGATGGGTGGATCAGTTGAGTCCAGGAGTTCAAGACCAACCTGGGCAACACAGTGAAACCCCATCTCTACTAAAAACAGAAAAAGATAGCTTGGCGTGGTGGTACACGTCTGTAGTCCCAGTTACACTGGAAGCTGAGGCAAAAGAATTGCTTGAACCCTGGAGCTGAGATCGCCCCACTGCTCTCCAGCTTGGGCAGCAGAGAGAGTGAGACTCTGTCTCTAAATAAATAAATAAATAAAAATTTACAAATACATGAAATAAAATAGATGGGAGGAGAAGAGTATTCCAAAGAATGCATGTATGCAAAGAAGAAATTGTTTTAGGGTTGTGGTGAGCATTAAACAAAAATCATAGCACACTAGTGAATGGCAAATGGATAATAAATTCCAATTATTATTTTAATAATAATTTGATGGCCAGGCACGGTGGCTCATACCTGTAATCCCAGCACTTTGGGAGGCTGAGGTGGGTGGATCACCAGGTCAGGAGTTTGAGACCAGCCTGGCCAATATAGTGAAACTCTGTCTCTACTAAAAATACAAAAATTAGCTGGGCATGGTGGCACGTGCCTGTAGTCCCAGCTACTTGGGAGGCTGAGGCAGAAGAGTTTCTTGAACCTGGGAGGTGGAGGTTGCAGTGAGCCGAGATCATGCCACTCTACTACAGCTTGGGCGGCAGAGTGAGACTTTGTCTAAAAAAAAGAAAATAGTAATTTGACTTAGGGAAGGAAGAAAACACCAGTGGCTCTTGTCTTTGTTTCCATGATCTCTGGAGAAATACACACACTCCTATATGTCTATATTTAGTACTTCATTATTTTTATAACAGAACTTCAGATAAACATGTATATGATATAGGGATATAACTAAAATTTTGATAACATTATTCAACAACTCCAATCTCTACTGTATTTACATTTAATAAGGAACTCTATGCTATGACTTTTTCTAATGAATACAATGACTTTTATGAAAACAAATATGGCTAGGAAGGTTAGGGAAAGGTTATAAGCAAATGTTCTCACAAAGTTGCTGAAATAGGAAAGTAAAGGAAATAGCTCTTTTCCTGAAACCTTATCTGATAAAAAGAATTGTTTTATTTTGGGGTGATTTGGACAGGTATTTCTCTGTCATTTCGGAGGGCAAATTTTCATTTGACTTTAAAGACATGAAAAATTCCTTTTGCACATTTTTGTTTATTTATTATGACATCCTTTTAGGTACACAGGGTTATTTCAGTATGACTTGAAATATTAACTTTTGTTTTATGTGAAACACTTTTGTTTTCCTTTCTAGATGTCCAAGTTTGGTAAGACCAGAGTATTCATAATGAAGCGATCTCTCTGAAGTAGTTTCTTTTGTACGTCCGTAGGCTAGGATGGATTTTCTTTTACACCTATTCAGAGAATTTCTATTCAGTTTGTTATTAGTAATCACCCCCTAGTCACTTTCTTCAGGTCTGTTTTCTAGATAACAGTTCCCTAGTTTACACCCATATTGTGTATTATTCTTCCCTAAGTGTATTATCTTATACTTCTTTACATTAAATCTCATCTTGGACCTGTCCTTTCAAATCCCCAAGTTGTCCATAATCCATCCATGTACTTGATTGATCTTGTTTTCTTTTCTTTTTAATCCAGTCTGGCTTTGTATCATCTGCAAACTTGATCATACTTGAATGTACATTCTCCTCCAGCTCTTTAATGAGTGTGCTAGACAGGATAGTTGTCATTCCCGTGGGACCATGCCGGATATACTGCTGGATGCTCTCAGTTGCAACTACGTTGATAATAATTCATTGCTTCCTTCCCATGACAGAATTCTTTATCTACAGTGCTATACTGTTATCCAGGCAATGCCTCTACCATCTCTGCTTTCTGGATACTCCTATTTCAATCATTTTTTCCTAAGATTGACGTAAAAATTATTGTGCTCCCTTATCTATGTAGGCCATTGCTTAATTTTTAAAAGAAGTTACTCAATCTGGGAAAATAGTGTCCTTAAATAGAAATTTCTCAAAAGTTTCCATCGAACATCAGTGAGTCTTTAAAAATACGTTAAGTGTGAAACATTTTGGAAGTGCTGCCTAAGTCTTTGCTTTCTCCATGGAAAGGGATCTCTAGTTATTTAAATTTTAAGAAAAACCATAATTATTTTTCTCACAGCTGAGAGAATGATTTAAATATATGTAAATTTTTTCTGAATGTCGATTATATTTTCAGTAAATTACTCTGCTTTGAGGTAGTTTTCTAGATGAGACGCAGTTCATTTATAATTTTCAGAGCATGATGTGGAGCCATTTGTTACTTTATTTTTAAAGTTATGATTTTTTCCTTTATTTTCAGGAAAAAGAAGAAGTAGAGGGGATATCAGTAGGTGCTATACTTTCTGACTATCAGCGTATTCGAGTGGAAAATGTGTAAGAAAACATTAATTTGTTAATTTTAAAAGTGTATGTATTTTAAGAATGTGAATAAGTGAAAAATCAATAATTGTATTCAAATTATCAATAGGTGTGGTAGTCTACGTGCTCCATGGAACTAAATGTATGTATTTACCTAAGTAACAAAAGTCATGCTTTTACTTTTTTCTATCCTTATATCACACATGAGGAAATTTAATTAGTATAAGGAAAAATAATCATAGAATTGAGATAGAATTTTTAGTGAGAAGTATTGTCTTCATTTTTTTCTTATTTGATTTAGTATATCCTGTTAATCTCTTTTAACTCATCATTTGTAATAAAAATCAAGAGATAATAGAATCAATACAGTAATATTTTAAAGAAAAAAATGCTTACTAAGGAGTCATCTCTTCTTTGGTTCATATAATTCAGTTCTTGTCCAAAAATATTTATGTGATTGAAGTACTTACATATAAAGCCATTCAACTTTCAAGGAATTTTTAGGATGTTCCTCCCCTCCTCCTAGCCCCTCTCTGCTCCCCTAAGGGAGGGAGCACTAGTGAAGCATTTAGTCTGTAGCTGCACATACCAAAACGGTCAATTCTATTGATCTATTCAAAAATCATGAGGTGAAATGATAATATTGGTTATTTAATGTTGGCCTGGCAAGACACGACCTGAATGAATTTACTTTTCATTTTTAATTTATCTAGATAAATATAATATTGTATAGAGATTCTGGGCATAGTTATATTAACAAAAAAAAATTGGACTCCATTATTTTTCTTAAGCACAATTTGACCTACAAGTAAGTTATTTTGCTAGTCAAAAGGATAAATAGAATAAGATAATGGCTGTATTTATATAATATTTTTATATTCTTGATAAAGAAACATTCCTATTTACTATCTCATTTAAAACCTACATATTAATAGATATGAAAATTTAAGTTTCATTTTTATTTTATTTATTTTCTCTCTAATTCCATGGTGGATTTAGGGCAGTTTAAAAAAATACAGAATTTTAAGAGTGAATGAAGGGAAAACAGGGTAAAGCATAGTTAAGTGAAGAGAAATATGATCTTACATTTTAGAAGTGTATCAGAGTCTCTGGACGATGGATGATGATGGTGGAGTGGGGAAGAAGGTCATGTGTATTTTGAGAAAGTTTTCCTTGCATTCTACCTAGATGGAGATCTACCGTTGAGAACAACCGATCTACAGATGGAGATGAATTGCGTATCCCTTAAGCCATACTTTAGAAATAATAGTATTGTCATCAAGTTTTAGATCATGTTCTGAGAACTGTTAAAAATTAGTGTTTTTTAATAAGTTCAAACCCACATGCCTTAATGGGTAGCCAAACTGGAGATAGGGATGACATCTATTTATGAAAGTTAAAAAGCCAAATAAAAATGTGCTCCTGATTAGGAGGCTGCCCATTACATATATGTATATATATGGAAGAAGGGCACGCGTCATGCCCACAGGTAGAGACTTTCTCCGAACACAGTCTCTGGTACACTTGAACACATGAGTAGATTTGAGCAGATGAGTAGATTTTATGTTATAAAGCATATCTGCAATTATTTTATCCTTGAAATTTCAAAAGTAATGTTACTGGCAGTCTGTTGGTCCACAAACTCAATTTTGAATTAGCCTATGACCAAATTTTAGTTTGTGTTGTATTATCATAATTTCAGAATGTAAAGCGTTTAATAGATGTCACAAGTTCAAATTCAGCAGTGATTTACAGAGTACTTTTATTTGAGCCATGATATTTTGAACTGTTAAAGAACTTAAATAGGAAAAAAAATTTACTTACGTCTATAGTCAAGAGGTTTTGAGGAATTTCAAAGCAACAACCACAAATTTTACAATAAGGACAGGAAAAAAACTTTTTTTTTAATAAAGAAGTAAGTCTTAGTTTAAAAAGGTAGAGAGGCTGTTTTGATTAGTCGGCCTTAAACATTGGGTGAGAGGACAGCAAGAACTAGTGTTTGTATTACATGGGTAGTTCACATTTTATTATTTTTGTATTTATTAACTGTTTCAGCATTGCTTAAATGCTCTGAGACATTTTAAAAGGGAAAATTACATGCAACAGTCTCTGCAATGAGGAAGGTTTTGGCTTTTTGAAAGTCAGGGTGTACGTAATGAAAAGCAATAGTGATATTTTTAAGGCCATGTATGAGTAAATGACCAAACATGGTACATTTAGTAAGTATGGGGATCTCTGAGAGAAGAGAGAGAGAGAGATCAGTATAGGCCAGAGTAGTCAGCCAAGCAACCTTACAGATGCTAGGGATGGTGGATTTTACTTATAAACCTTATAGACACTGGGTTTTAGAGCTATATTCTTGGTTTGGAATCTGATCTCAGCCAGTTAGTGTATGACTCGGGCAAGTCACTTGGCTTTGACTATCATTTATTGAATACCTATTTTATCCAGGCATTGTACTACATTATCTATATTACCTTTAATTGATTAAACAATTATAGTCCTTTCTGAGAAAGTGACATTTAAGCAAAGGCATGAAGCAAGTGAGAACACAACTAGTGTAAAGGCAAGAGTGAGCAGGCAGGCAGCAGTGGTAGGATGGAGTGAGAAGAGAGTAAGTAGTAGGAAATAAAGTGCATGAACTAAACAGGGCGAGATCCATGGAGTGATGGGGAGCTACTGGAGGGTTTTGAGCAGAGGAATACTATGATCTATTTAATGTCTTAAAAGGATCACATTGGCTGCTGTCTGGATTTTAAAAGGGTGAGGGTGGAGCAGGGAAGGAAATTAGGATGTTGACATGAGAGAGAATGGTGGCTCAAACCACGTTGTTAGCAGTGGTATTGGTGAGGAATAATCACATTCTGCGTTGTGGTAGATTGGATGTGGAATGTGAAGGAAAGGGAAGGATGATTTCATTTCACATTTTTTAATCCTCTTAAGAACTTTGAAAGGAACTATTTTTGCCCCTATTTATGAACTAGGAAAGTAAGCGCAAGGACTTAGATTTTACTTGACTTCAAAAGCCGTGCAGCTAGAGTACAAAATGAGGTTTTAAATTCAGATGTGTCTTCACTCCAAAACCTATCTTTTTTCTACTTTAGCAATAATGGAAAATATCTTGTACAGTGCCTGCAGCATTGTACTTTTTGTTCTTAGTATTTTCTTTTTATTCACAATCAAATTCTTAAAAAAAAAAATCAAAGTTAGTAGTTTAGAATAATTCACATAACTGTAGTTATTGTTAATTTAATCAATATGCGGCTGTTTTATTAGGATAAATTATTTGCCCACTTTACATATGCTTCAAAATTTTGATACCCATGGAAGTTTTAAAACAGAGAGAATACTGGCATTTGTAAACTCTTTTAATAGATTACTAAATTAAGAGTCTTACTAAAATTAATATTTCTAGTATGCCTAGAAATTTCATTTTTATCAGTTTATGCATAGCCCATGGAAATTAAATATGTTTATGTTGTATATATAAACTTCATTATGCAAAATATGTTTTTAAAAGCATTTTCAATGCTAAAATCCTTGAACGAAGCATTATGTTTCAAATCAAAGTAATTGCTGTGGATCCAAGTATAAAATATTAAGATATCATCTGACTTTCTTTTTCTTTTTCTTTTGTAGGTGTAAAAGGCTTAATCTCCAGCCTTTAGCTTACCTTTGGCAGAGAAACCAGGAAGATTTGCTCAGAGAGATGATATCATCTAACATTCAAGCAATGATCATCAAAGTAGCAGCTTTGGGTATGCAGCCAAACTATCAAGGGAGCTGTTTGTTGCCACATAGATAATCTCAATTCACTAATAAGTAGTTACAATGAACAAAGAAAACTGATTTAGAATATAAAAATGTGGAGTCACAGCTGAAGAAATTGAGTAAGCACCTTCCTTGCATGAAGAAAGGGAAGTTTTAAAATGGGCTTTTGACCATTTGCCAAAGTGATTACTAGTAAGGCTTTTTTTTTTTTTTTTTAAATATATAACTGGTTCTAAAACTGATATTGTATTATAGTCCTTCAATTTAAGTTGTTTTTTTTTTTTTAGGGTTTGGAATTTAGGCTTGTTGGAGACAGGAAATACAAGGGTTATTTTTGTTTTGTTTTGGAGTTTTTTGGAAGCTTCTTGCAATATGTATTTGACACAAAACATGATATATTCCTTGTATTTTTTAACATATTTTGAATAATGCTAAAATAGAATGATGGTTTTGTTTTTGTTATAAAAAATAGATAGGATACTGGTTTTTGTTGGAGGTGGTGAGAAAATCACGTTTGAGAAAATGTTATCTGATTAGTTAGCATAGACGCAGCAGGCAGGTGGTAATCTGATTCAAGTATGGACATTACATATGAACACATTTAATTTATTTGGAATTGCTGTAATTATATTAATTTTTGAGAAACCATAGGGTTTGAGCCCAGTCCGTTCATTTTGTGAACCTGTTATAGAAAATGCCCTGAAGCCTGAGAGTTCCCAAAGCCTAAATCATGTACCTCATTTGAGAGTGTTTACCTTGCTGGTCTCTGAAATAACGAGGTCTCGAGCTGTAGAAGATTTTACAGATACATTCACTTTTTAAATAAAATTAAGAGAAAGAGTACAGACCCCATAATGTTTCTCCATGGTAAATACCAAGCTGCTGTATTCTTGCTGAAGTTGAAGTGTTGTCTTCAGTTGAAAGCTTTTTTTAGTGAATCTGTAGTTGATCTCCTTAGCTGTTAAAACGAGAAAGATTGAGTGGTATTATATTATTATTTCTGAGAAAAGGTTGCCGAGCAGCTCTCATGATTAACGATCTCATTATAAATATGTTTGTCATATGAATTTCTGGGTGATTCTGTACAGAGTAGTCCCTCTTGCTTTTTCTTTGTCTCTCGCTCTCTCTTTGAATTTTCTAAGATTACATAGTTCTGTAATGAAGTTCACGTGACATCTCACTGAAAAGTACACATACTATTCCTTTTACTGCCAGATAGATAAAAGACTGGATTAGAACCCAGAGAGACCTCCCTTATTGAAAAGGTAGTCAAAGAATTTGACCTTATTGCCATCTTTTAATAGTATATGACCGATATTGTGTGTTCTTTCATTTCTATGTGTGCGTCTCTGTAGGGATTAGAGATGGGGAGTTAGCTTTATCAAGCCTTTGGGTAAAATGTAAAAACCGAGCAGATTTGTCTTTGGCATCTCAGTAACGAAAATATAGATCTGATTTTAACATTTACAGCACATGGTTTCTACTGACTGCCTATAGGTGTGCAAAGATGAAAGTTATTCTTTGGAATAGTATTAAGAAAGATAGTACTTCTGAAGACATAGAAACATATAAATGATGCAATATAGGTTGCTAAGTCTTTTTCCTCCCATTTAAAATTGTCAGAACAGGATTTAAGCCAAAAAAAAAAAAAGGGACAATAAGACCTTTCTATGGGGGAGAGGGATCAGTAAAATTCTGTGGACCATTTTTCTATGAAATGGTCTTATAATAGAAAAGGGTCAGTTCTACATGAATGCATACAAATATATTTTTTATAATTATGTTACATAACCTTTATGTCTTATAGGCATCAATGAACTCATAAAATTTCTGGCTTCTTTGTTTCATTATAATGTTTTAAGGGACTCATCCATATTATTGAATGAAGCAATAGTGTGTTCATTTATATTGTAGTATAGTGTTCCCTTGTGGGAGACTCTAATTAACTTATCACACCACAATTTAATTGTCCATTCTATTATTGATGGCGTATAGGTGGTATCCAGTTTGGCACTGTGATAAACAATGCTGCCACAAAGTGGTCATCTTACACATTTTCTGTCTCAGAGCTAGAACATCCTTTTTTTCAGGAAGCCCTGATTTCTTTGAACGTGAAATGATATATGTCTGTATGTGTGTATCTAATGACTCATGAGTTCATGATATTTCAAAATCAAATTCAAGACAACATAAGGATTATAATAATTCTGTATTCTATCTCTGCCTTCTTTCTTCCACAGTAAATCTTGATTATCAGGGTCACAAGAGATATTATTTATTAGAAAATCCCATAATTTGGGGGAACAAAAAGACCAAATAGCAGATCTATTATCCGTTCTTTGCAGTAACTGGGGTAGGCTTCCTGGAAAGAAAGAAGGAAGAACTTCTATAATCTTCCTGCAAATATAATTACAGACCTCATGGCAAAAAAAACATACAAAGAAACAAAAAAATCACTAAGGGTATTTACTAGAGGGGAAGAGTATCTTTGGACTGCATTTAGCAGGATGTTATCTAGTTGCTAAAAAAGAGATAAATGGTAAAGGGAAAATATGAAACCACTTTTACCTATCACTGGAAAAACCTCCTGTTTCTTGAAAGATATATTTGTTTCCAAAGTAACTAAATTGATCACTAGGAAAAACTGTACAGGTTTAAGGGTTAGTTTATTCAGTTAAATGATGGTGTAGTAGCATTGACTGTGAAAGGGAATAATGCTAGGACTCTACTTGTAAGGTTTCTAGGATTGAGAGATAGGAATGAGGTGATGGGGGAGGATGCAAGTTCCCAACTATATATCTTTCCCATTTCATAGATTTTTTTATTAGTTTTCCCTGATCTAATGGTCCTAGGCCCGAGTTTAAAGTTGCACATACCAAAGGAAAGTGTTGTCAGTGCACAAAACACATTATCAATAGCATTACATTTGACAGTGCATATTCTTAAAGGCCTTTAGGGGTGTGAATAACTTCACTCTGTGTAGGCAAATTAAGGCCTATCCATAAACACAAGCCAAGTGTCTTGTGATTCTTATGTGTCAAATCCTGTAATACCTGCCAAGGAGAAGTGCTAACAAGGCTGCTGTTTTACTGTCCCTGTGGGTTTATAATACAACCGTTGAACCAGTTAGCCCAATCGTGGGGAAAAGGGTATGGGTCAAAACAGGTAATAGATGGAAATGGGAGGATGTGTAAGAGATAGAAAGGCACTTATACGTGAATTCAAGTTCTGTGGAGAGATGTAACCATGTGACCTAACATGGCAGAGCCTCAGAGCTAGAAAATAATAAGGTATTTGGTATCTCTCCTTGGTAAATGCCGAGCTACTCTATTCTTGCTGAAGTTGAGTTGTTGTCTTGGATATCTCTCTCAAATTTGATGCTAACCTAACTGATGTTGAGAGAACACTTTGGATGTGTTTTCTGGAGAGAAGGGAAATTGGTGATGTACAGCTCTACTTAAAGATTCCACCTATGGCCTGTAATCCCAGCAGTTTGGGAGGCCGAGGCAGGCGTATCATGAAGGTCAGGAGATCGAGACCATCCTGGCTAATACGGTGAAACCCCGTCTCTACTAAAAATACAAAAAAATTAGCCGGGCATGGTGGCGGGTGCCTGTAGTCCCAGCTACTCAGGAGGCTGAGGCAGGAAAATGGCATGAACCTGGGAGACGGAGCTTGCAGTGAGCCAAGATCACGCCACTGCACTCCAGCCTGGGTGACAGAGCAAGACTCCGTTTCAAAAAAGAAAAGAAAGATTCCACCTATGTAATCTAGAGGAATAAAGTGGCAGAGTGCCCCTTGATTACTCAATGTAGGAGCAGTTCACTACAGTTCCCACTCATGTCTTGGTTTGTAGGCTATCCAGTTGTCCCTTGGACAACAAGGTGGTTAGGAGCACCAACCCCCAGCACAGTTGAAAAGCCACTTATAACTTTTGACATTCCAAAAACTTAACTACTGCTGTAGACCAGAAGCCTTACCAAAAACATAACAGGCAAGTAACACATTTTGCATGTTGTATGTATTACATACTCTTACAATAAAACAAGCTGGAGAAAAGAAAATTTTACTAAGACAATTATAAGGAAGAGAGGCCAGACACAGTGGCTCGTGCTTATATTCCCAGGACTTTGGGAGCCCAAAATGAAAGGATCACTTGAGTCAGGAGTGTGAGACCAGCTTGGGCAACATAAGGAGACCTATCCCTATAAAAAGTTTAAAAATTAGCTGGGCATGGTGGTGTGTGCCTGTAATCCCAGCTACTCAGGAGGCTGAGGCGGGAAAATCGCTTCAGCCTGGGAATCAGGGCCTCAGTGAGCTGTCTTTGCACTTTTGCACTCCAACTTGGGTGAAGAGCAAGACCCTGTCTCAAAAAAAAAAAAAAAAAGAAAAAAAAAAAAAGTAAGGAAGAGAAAATACACTTATAGTACTGTCCTGTATTTATCAGTACTGCAAATTTATGTCATCTGTTTACAAAATGAATCATCTGTCCAAAATTGCAGGCAACCACAGCTGCAGATCTCAATCTACAGAACGTCAACTTTTTCTTACAATTTCATGACTTTTCTCTGCGTCTTGGGAACACGTCGAGCATCACTAGTGGCAGTTCGTATGGGTCCCATGGTGTCACTCGAGGTTTACAGTATTTACACTAAACCCAATGAAATTTATGCAAGAACCACAAGAGATCACTTTTTACTGTAATACACAATTTACTGGAGACAGAAAATGCTCTGCTCATGAGATGATTAGCATCACATAGTATTTTAAGCAGACACTAGCAACACTTGAGCTCACCGCAATGGCAACAGGAGATGGCTACAAAATTGATACAGTAGTAACAATAGATAATAATAGTTAATTTTATGCAGTTATGATTTAATGCTGCATCTTTATGTTTGTTTACCTTTCTCTCACCTGTGAATATGTGTGTGTTTTGGTAAATTTTAACCTTTTATAATAGATTTCTATATATTTTGTGGTAGTA